GTTTGTTTCCTGAGATTAAGAGTTCCTCATATCAGTGAGGTCATATGATACATGTCTTTCTCTGATTGACTTATTTCGCTCAGCATAATACCCTCCAGTTCCATCACATTTTTGTGCCTCGCATCTGCATCTTAAATTTACTTTTCTTTGTGCTATTTAGGATTTATTTCCTCAGTCATAATCACGATATCATAAGTTTACCTCTAGATACTCTTGAACAACTTGCTCTGGAGTGTTTCCCAAAAACACATAGAAGTCGAGAATGCCCCCGATGGTGCGGTAAGTGACAGCTGGGGTGGGCTGGAAGGCAACCTCTTGCAAGATTTAAAAGTGGAAAAGAAAAATAAAATAAAAATTAGAATTTACTCTACAGTAATGACTACAAGGTTCTAGACTGAAGGATCGCCAGTCATCTGAATATTAAGAAAGTGGATCTAACACCTCAAACTCTGTATACAAAAGGTCACATTCTGATGATGGTGACATGTGAGAGGCAAAGCATTTGTTCTGTGACGGATTTTGATCACTGGTGACTAGAGCATCTTCGCTCCCATGTCAGGACTCAGGCTTTCATGAAAAAGCAATCAGTTTCACGAAGGGGTCCAGACGAAGCCACTGTAGCACAGAAGTTATTTTAAGCTGAAGACATTTGAGCTTCTGAAATCCCTTCTCAACAAAAAGCAGGCCTTCCCAAAAGAACTCAGTTGTCATAAATTCCCACCCCCAGCCCAAATCAAATCTTCTCCAAGACAATACATTGGCACCACCCCCAAACATTGTCACAAGAATATCCTATCCCCCAACTGTTCTCCTAAGGGCTCATTTATCTTTCCCAATGTTTCCCATGGGATCCCTTTCTCTCCCTCCCATTTGCATATCAGGGTGGAATATAAGCCCCAAATTCTAACCACCCCTCTGAGAAGTTACTCTTCACTGAGCACTCCTCTGTGTATCAATGCTGCACATGTAAATAAACCTGGCTTTTCTCTTGCTAACCTATCTCTTGTCAGTTTGACTCACAGGCCCCCAAATACCGGACTGGCAAGGGCAGAGGAAAAGTGTTTCTTCTCGGACCATCACAACTACAGAACTCGTTGCTCCCACCTCACACCCCATCATCATTGCAGGAATGTAACCCAATTAGACACACTGAGGTACCAGCCTCAGTGAATCTCACATCAAGCAAAAGCCAAGCTAAAAAACGTCAGAGATTATATTATAAACTCCATATCCCTCTAAGCCCCAATCACAGTTCTCAGAGGTGAAGTCTCCCCATAGCCTTGGTTTGCATTTAGGAAGAAAAGGTTTCAAGGTCTACTGAAATGTATTCTTCAGTCATAAGAACAACTCACACAGAGTATCTAGGATCCTGGGATCTTTCTCTTTAAGCCTGATTCAACTTTTTTTCTGGTTCCTTCCAACACCCTGAAACTATGCAATCCTTGAACTATCTCAGTCAATTCTTAGACTATTAGGTATCTTAGAAGTATTTCATGTCACCTAGAGTGAGTCTCAATCTACAGTGAAGGATCAGAGATTTATTTTTTAAATGTCCAGTTCTTTGCAATCTGATACTTTCTGCAAAATAACATGAAAACAAATTACTAGAAAAGGGTTCATGCATGCACTTGGAAGCTACTGCAATGTTCACTTTCCATTTCTATACTCATCTTACTGTAGACCTGAAACAGTTTGTCAACCATCCGTGGGCCATGCTTTGAGCAGCTCTGATCCAGTCCATTGATTCTCAGTAGAGAAGAGGTAGGGATCAATATTCCGTCAACCCTGGGAGATTCTAATATATCTCCTCTTCCCCTGTGGTGATTGATTCATTGCCACTGAGATCCATTGTTACTGGTGCAAGCAGAAAAAAAAGTACAGAATCATTGATCCAATCTAAACCTTCAAAGATGCGGAGGCTAGCTACTTTTTGGAATCCTATGATGTTACACTGTTTGGTCTTAAACAAATTGATCTTGCAGGGCATGACCCTTGCCACTCCACGTTGCCTTGCTACCTTTGGATTGTCTGAATGTAATATTCACTGCTCAGTTGTAGCTCCCTGGTTAGGCCCAGCTACTGTCATCATGAGGCCAAGGGCATTTGGCTGTCTCCTAGTAGATTTTATATCAAACCCTCTACTGGATGAAAGTCTAAAGAAGGAAAAGAACAAATTGGTAGAAACTGCCTCTGAGTAGATTATAGGAAAGGCTTACTTGTTTTAACTCTACAATAGAAAATATTCCAAAAGAGGTAACCAGATTTAGGAAAATCATAAGCTAGGAGAGAAAGCCCTACTCATGGCTACCATATAACAACAGGTAATGAACGAGGGATGGGACAATCAGAGAACATGCAAGGCCCTGAGCTATGGCTCTGCCATTCTTAAAGGGCTCCATTCCTTTTATCATAGTGCTGAAAACTGCTCTTATGCATTTTTTCATGACTATTCCTTTAGTCTTTTACCCATGGCATTGCTGTTCATCAGAAACACTCCAAAGGACAATCCACTAGCATCTTCAAGACACAGGAAGAATGTCTGTGTACCATACAAGTTAGTTCCATCCTGCAGAAAGAAAATTAAAAACAAACTTACCATCTAATAATCTAAACCCCAAATGGTTAGAAATGACTTAAGAAATCAGTGTTAATCATGTGAGTAACTGACAGGGAACTCCTGGTCAAAGAAGACACAGATAAATCTTTAACATATCAAGTCTAGATTTGGTTGATGTCAACCAAGTGAATTAGTATTCTCTTATTGAATTGAGCCAGTTATGACCATTTATCTAGTAGAAATGTGAGAGCTTGTGCTATCTGTCAAAATGTGGGAGAAGAGTTTTGAAACCGTAGTTCAAAGAATCTCTTCTCTCAAAGAGGCTTAACCTAACCCCATCTGCAAAAGCTCCACCAAGCCTTAATATGAATCTGACATCTTTCTAATGTGCAACTAGAAGCAGCTCTACTCAAGATATCTTGGTCTTCCAGGCTTTCTGAAGTCTAGACTTTATAGAACTCGAGCTGACTGTCTAAGACTTTGGAACAGTAGTTCTCAACCTGGGGCTGCATCCAGTCCAATTAAAACAGAATCCCTGGGGGGGTGGAAGCAGGCATTGATATTTTGTTAAATTTCTCCAGGTGATTCCAATGAGTAGTCAGGTTTGAAATCACTGCTCTAGAATAGCATTTCCTAAAATTTGGTGTGCAGAGAAATGAGATATGAATCTTAGTTAAATGCGGATTCTAATTCAAAGGAAGAAGGAGCCCACATTTCTCACATGGTGATACCCATTTGAGTAGCAAAGGTCTCAGCCTCCTTATTAAATAATGACCAGATGAACCGCTCGCTCTGACTCAACACCTTTTCTGTCTTTCTGATAGGCGTATGGTACAGTAAAGAGCATGGGCTTTACATTACACAGGCCAGGGGTTAGATCCTATCTCTTGTTACTTCAAACTTTTTTTTAAACATTGGGCTATTTCTGAGCCTCAATTTCTTGCCTCTTAAATGGAGTCAATTGTGCTTAATTTTTTAGGGTTCTTTTGGTAAATAGAGATCGTGTATTAAAAGAATCACTTAATAAATTATTCCAATGATCTCCTTTATCCAGAAACTAGTTCTGCTTAATCAGGAAATTGGCTGAACAAGATCTGTAGGTAATATTGCTGAGCCTAGGAAGTAACTCTGATTTAGATTTTCACAGTCAAAACAATATAAAAACTAAAACTAAAACAAAATCAAATAAAACAATAACAACACTCTATTTCTTCTATTCTTTCACTGCCCCAAACATTATTTGTACAGGAATGAGCAAGACAGTATTTTAGTTGCTATTTTATCCTATTTTGCTGACAAACCTGCTATTAGTTGGTGATTTAGAAAGGTCAACCTAAAATATATGGAGATAATAACCCACCTATTGTGCAGAGTCAATATTAGTAATGTTTTCTCCACAACTAGTTAGTTCAAAAGGAAAATAAAATGAAGAGTAGTTGGCATTTTCTTGAGCACTCTTTTGTGGCAGACACTCTTCTAGAGACTCTATATGGATAAATCTCTTTAATTCCCACCACAACCCTACAAGGGAAGTATATTCCCCTTGTTTTATAGATGAGAAACTGGAGATGCATAGAAGTAACTTACCCAGAACCACATAACTGGTGTGTGGAATTCAAACCTAAACAGCCTCACCCTAGAATCTCACTCTTAACTATTATTCTGTACTGCTAGGAGTTATCTTCAAGAATGAGGCGGACCTTCAGTGCAGAGGGGCCCATCCTAAAAACTTACCCCATTGGGGGCTGTGTCCCTGGCAAACATGGACCAGGTCTTCCAATTCAAATCATGCCGGTACTGTTGATGCACCTGTTCTCCCAGACCGTACACGTTAGCACTGGGCAGTCGGGTGGAGAGCTGCAGGAACTGATCGGCAAACAGGAGGGGTCCGATGCCTGAGTCCAACCTAGACTCCGATGCAAAATGCAGGGACAAGTGGGTAAGTAGAGTGGAGAGGACACAACCTTTTAGAAAATTGTCCCTTACATTTTAATGACTCATATCCCCTGCTTTCACTGGCCCCATTTGCCCTCCAGTGGTGTTTTCCCATGGACACCAAGAGATCAGGGCTTTTTCCCTTAGATACACTACTACATGGCCAAAATATTATTCTTACATTATAGTAGATGTTCCGTAAATAGTTACTGGTGGATACGCGGTAAGATGGATGGAGGAAAGGGAAAAATAAGGCGGAGAAAATGCTCACACAGTAATAAAAATGAAAGAAAAAAGGACCCAGCCCAGTGCCTGGCCCATAATAATGCTTAGTAATAACCACAACAACCAAAAAAGAAGCAGCAGCAGCAGGAGGAGGAGGAAAGAGGAAGGCAGAAGAAAGTATACATTTGGAGAGTCTGGTCACCAACAGTGGGCTCACAACCTTCAGGAGCATTGTTGCTATGCACGCACCCTTCCTTAGGCTTGCAGACCTCCCTCTCCCATGTCCTTCCTACTCAGATCCCCAGACAGGTTTTCAAAACTTACAGAACACGATTATTACTTCTTCTGATCACTTTGATGCTAAATGGCTGTTCGGAGACCATAACTTCATAGGTCAAGGGAGAAGCAGCATCTCCTTTGAAGGGTTGCACATGTTCATGAGGTACTTTGTACCTGTCCTTGCTCTGGTCAGTTAGCTGCCCAGGACATGAAGGGAAAGAAAGCCAAAATAAAAACTCCTCAGTATTTCCTCCCTACCAACAGCAGTGCTTCCCAATGACTATGCTCATGGTACTGAACTCAGGCACTGATCCAAATGGCATGATGTCCGAGGCAGACATACCCATTATATTACCAAATTCAAATGTTTAACACTTGGACAGAAGTTAGTTTTTTGGTATAAATAGACATTGTAAGTCTACAGAGATGAACTAGCTCTAGAATTTTCACAGCTGTGATCATTCTTTTTCTTTTCCCTCCTGACTACATTTCACATGGTATCAGGGGCAAATAAATAAAAGCCAAATTTCACCAGTTGACTCTATAACCTATATTCAGGAAGTTATCACACTGAAGGAAGGCTACAGATGCCTTCAACATATAGGTACTAAGTAAGAATAATGTCCGTAGAGAAAAATGCCTCCATTAGCAACATTGTCAATCTTGAAGTAACGGCAGCCATCAGGTAGAGAACGAGCACTTTTCACAAATATTTTTAAAGAATAAACAAACCACAACCTTAAAGTGGAAACGATTGGACGTCTGGTATTCTGCTGTGAGTAGGACATTGTTGACATCATTTCCAAATAAGGATGGAGAAGGCAACCTTTTCAACTGGGCTGTGAATCCTAGTATGTAGAGGGAAAAAGGTTTACATAGCTGGCTGTGTAAACTCACAAGAAGTAGCCATATTTATGTCAAAGGGGCGTAAAAAGCCTTTATTTCTCAAAAGAAGGGAAGAGATAGATGTCTACCCATCATTTGTTACTTTGGGCCAGATTGTAAAGCTAGGCAGTGTCATTATCTTACCCATGCTTCTTGCTTCCAAAATCAGTTTGAAACCTCCCCCAAAAGGCCTAATTCTCATTCCATCAGTCCATTAGCCATTCTGCATTAACCACATACCCTTTACACTCTTAGACATTGATACACACACACACACACACACACACATCGTTCCTTCTCAGTTATTTTCATTTTACATTACAGGTGATTATATATGCTGAAACCATCTCCCATTTTCTGTGATAAGCCAGGTGAGAATTGAGACCATATTAGAAAAGACCATCAGGCCAAGACCCTTGGAGGGGCAGCATGCCTCTTCCTTTATGTTAAGAGCTTCCCAAAGTAGTCACCCTCTATTATCTCCCAGAATGTTCACTATTATCCTCTGCATCTTGGGGTGGGAGAAAGAAGAGGAGACATTAAGTCCATGAACACTGACAGTGACTAGCTAACTTTCATAAAAATGTTTATGAAATTGGAATTGTTTCCATATCATCAAAATCACATCGTATTAGAGTTGTAAGTAGTCTCAGAGGTTACTAAGTTCAAATCCCTCTCTTTAAAAGTTAGAAACTTGGGGACCAAAGACATCACGATGTTTGTACAAGGTTACCAAGGGACATAAAGTAGAGCCAGGAATAGACCATGTGTCCTAACTCCCAAGATTGGATTTTTTTTCCTTGATGCCAAAATAGATCCTAGCCCTGGCTTAAGAACAGTGCCCACCTTCTGTCATAGGTGGTGGTGTGTGATACTCTGCAGGCCACTAAGGCTTTCCTCTGCAGCAAACAGAGGGTCTGGAGCTCCTGCCTCATTGTCTGGCTTACCTGCATTTGTTTTGACAAGGTCACCCTCCATTTGATAACCATGACTTTTAGAATAGTAGCACCAGGGCACACTTATGGTCCCCTGAGGTCTCCAGCAGCACCCACGCTGATCACATGTGGCCTGAAATAAGAGATTAGTCAAATAATTCCATTTATTTGTAGAACATTATCATTTATAAATATATTTTGAGCTTATGGTATCATTAACCTCATTTTATGATATTTAGAGAAATTGTGCTTTATCCCAGTCAGTGCACAGCTTGTACTCAAAACTAATTTTTCTGCCCAATGTCCTACCCTGTTACTATTTTATAATAATATAGGGACTGCAATGCAGTCCCATATCTGCCATCACAATAAAACTGGTAACTTCATTTAAATATCCTAAACTACAATATAGTTATATCACCAGTAACTTAAAATTGCAAATGCAGCTTCACTTATATTAGTCTGGGTATTTAAAAAAAAAAAAAAGACTTTGCTTTAGTCAGAAGCTTTGAAATCAAATCAGTTTTGACTTTCAAATATGTCTATTATGTGTGTATGTGTGACGTATATGTGATAGATACATACATATACACACAGTCTCTCAACTTCTCCCAAAGCAGAAAGTAACTGTTCCTTGAGACCCAAAGAAATTCTAATTTTTAGTTAAGAAAGGTGCCCGCTTTATACCACAATTAATGACAGAATCGAGTAGAGATTAAAATGAACACAATCCCTTTCTCACGTCAACTAATTTATTTGGGAGGGGCACCAGGGTAACTACAAAAAAGTACAAAGAAACCTCTTCCTCTTGAGTGTGGACTAGACCTAGTGACTTGTAACAAACAGAATAAAGCAAAAATAATGGGATCTTGCTTCTAAGATTAGAGTACAGAAAGATTATGTCTCCTGTCTGGCTTGCTCTCTTTCCCTTGCTCTACTAGAGCCCACAGCAAGGGACTAAGGGAGGTCTCTGGCCGGTGGCCTTCCAGGAACTGAGACTCTCATCCAACAATCCTGGAGGATCTCGATCCTGCTCACAATCATACGAATGAGCCTAAAAGGGATCATGCACAGTCCCAGCAGACGCCTTGATTGCAGTTTTCTAAAATACTTTGCGCCAAAACATCCAGCTATATCAAAGCCAGATTTGTGACCATAAAAATATGTGAGAAAATTATGTTTGCTGTGTTAAGCCATGAAGTTTTGGGATAATCTGTCACAAAGCAATAAATAACTACTACATCCTGCTACATATTTTACAGATGAAGAGCCTGAGACAGGCAGAAGTTCACAGAGGTGAAATGACGGGCCAAAGGTTACTCAGTTAGCTATTGGGAAGGCAAGCACCAAAACTTAGTTCTCTTGCTATCCACTCTCTTTTTTCTATACTCTGGGTTGAGTTTCTGTTAAGCACATTTTCAGGAGGACGTGGCCTTGCTTTGCAAATGATAAGACAAAAAAAAAAATGGCTTAGGTATATGAACAATTGGATCTAAAGACATGCTTATTTTTATGTGGATACTAATTTAAGGATGGAAAACCGTGTCCATCTGTGGACGACGTGGCTGTGGGATTGGGCTGCACTGGGAAATCCACTTCAATCAACAGGTTTTGGGGTTTTTTTTTCCTTTCAAAACCCACTCAGATGAAACCTCAGTACATCAGGCAAAGAGAAAGGTGCTAAAAAGGGTGTTAAACAGATGGTTTCTGCATGCTGCCCAGAGCTTAATGATTTCTTCATAAACTGGAAGGGGCAAAGATCAAAGAGTGGCCAAAGCAGCCAGAAAAGTGAATGGTCTCTGTTGGCCACCTTGAAAATACCAGTTCCTGCCGTGGCCCTAAGCAGTCACGAGGAGTGGAAAGAGAAGCGTGGTGCACATAAACAGGAGAGTAAAAAGATGTGAAACCTAGGAAAATCGCTGTAGAGAAAAGCTGTACAAAATGATGGTGTGAACAGGACCGAAGGTGCATAAAGAGAAGAACTGGACCCGAGATACAAATGTCCCTCTAAGTTCAGGTGAGAATTTAAATCTAAGAGGAATTGCTGAAATAATACAGCATGCGTAACTTCCAATACAGTATTAAAAACTCAGGGGATAAAGTCCTCAATACAAAAAAAACTAAGGAAGAAGACACGGATATGGGGATGGGGTGGGGGACGGGTAGGGAGCAGCATATAACAAAACAGAACATATGGGAAACACAAAATGAGACCTTAGAAAAAAATTTATCATGTCAATTATCACATGTCATCTGCCAATACTTTAGAGGTCACTATTCTAAAATCGTGGGAAGCACAGAGTTTAGTAGAGCTCCTGGCTCATGCTCAGAAGGCATTGATTTAATGGACGGATTGACCTGAGCACACTGCCTCATTTCACTGAAAAAGATTTGATAGTCTGCAAGGAAACAAGACTTAGTAATCAAATCACAGAGTTTTTCAGGAGCAAAGCCAGAACTAGAACCCGGTACTGGGGCTCCCCTAACACTCTCCTGCCCAAGGGCTACACTACCAGTTCAAGGCACAGAGCATAAACTTAAGTCTGTACGCAGGACCTGATAGCTCACTGCTCCTCCTAGCACTGTATCATGGCTCTTAACTAATGCTGTGTAAACACAGAGTAATTTTGAAGGTGGGGATTCATAATGATCTTTGCAAAATGCAATTTGCTTGCTGATATTCATAAAACTTGACCCATTAAACACTTATTGATAAGAAAACGGAATTTGCAAAAATATATTACAAGCCAATAAGTAAATAATAATTACCGAGTATGTCTGCTATAAAATATGACAAAATTTTCTGAATAAGAAATATGGTAACTTCTCAAATATCATCATAAAGATTATTATTAGTACTATTGTTAACCATAGAAAGGACTTACTGTAAACTGTTCTCAACTGTTCTGGGATTTTGGGTAGAAGCCCTCACAAGGAAGTAGAAAGTGATATGCTCTTTCAGATGGATAGGTTTTGGATAAGTACAGAGAGTTGTCTCTAAAATCTGTATGGGAGAATGGCCTATGTGCCGCTTGAGAGGCACAAAGTTTAAATAGGGTCTAAGATGACAGACTGAGTATTTGAACTTGACCCAATAAACAGTGATGAAGACTATAAGTACTCAAGCTGGGTAGCAATACAATGAAAGTAAGATGTTCAAGAGGGCAGTTTCAATCCTGTGTGTAATGGAACAGGCAGGGAGAGATGGAATTCAGAAGAGGCACTGGGAATCTGTGGGAATAAGCCACCTGTGAGGTGGTGAAGGCCCAGCATGACCATAGTGAGAAGGGAAATGAAGTGCTTATTCTGGAAAACATTGTTATGGAAAATGTTTAAAGTACATGAAACATTGGCCAAAGGGCTTGAAGGGAAGAGGCAGGCAAGAGTCCTGCTGTTTCTGCCACTGAGATGAGAAGCATAACAGAAGTACGAACAGAATCTGATGGTTGAGGAGGAAAAGCAGATTTGATGAGGAGTGACAAGTTGAGGCGAGGTGATCGTGGGACACCCAAGTGAGATGCCCTGCAACCAGCTGCAAGCCCAAAACTAAAGATCAGGCTAGAGATTTTGATAACTGAGCCATCCCTTTTTTTCCCCTGAGACTCATGGAAGAGACTCTTTGAGCTCATTCTCTCCCAAGATGTCTCTCAAGAGTATTCCATGTGGCTTTACAGATTTATAGGATTCCCTCACATTATTAGGAATTAAAAACAATGGGATCTACAACAAAGAATTACCTGAAGGGAAATTCATACTGTTAGTTCTTTATAAGTAACCTTGGAGGAGAGGAAGAGATAGGAGTGATAAAATGGTACAGCAATGGCCTCAACACTGGAACATTCCACTAGCCTGGTATCATATTCATAATTTCTTCCCACTTCTCTACTCCACCCAGCCATCTATGTCTCTTTTACATGTACATTATATAAATACATCATTATCCATAGACTCAGCCTCTCAACAACAATCTGGAACAGCATATAGCACTCAGGATATTTAAAACATGCACCAAAATGCCCAAGATATACCTTCTATGAAAAAACAGGCCATTGAAAGTACTCCCAGTGCATTTCTCTCTGGCTGAGCTAAAGAGGAGCAGGCCAGTGAATGAATGCCAAGGGTCATAAATTAATTCAGTTGGTACAACATATAAAAAAAAAGCAAAGTTCATTTACTGAACTATAATCTTGATACCACAGAAATTTTATGAGAAGTTTTACAATAAAACCCCAAAGAAACATTACTGGCGCAATAATGACATCTAAAGTTCAATAGTCAGTATCAAGATGGGGTGTTGTAGGAGAATGAACAGACTGAGGATGCATTAGTCTTCTAGCTGGGCTTCCAAGCAATGGGGTTCCTAGCACACCTTGACAGGGGCAAGTGAATGGGTGTGGATCAACTTTCTGCAAACCTACCTCCTACCAAACATCCTGCTTAGGTGCAGGATATCTAGACCAAACATTCTGCTTAGGCGCAGCGTATCTAGACCACAACTTCCCTTTCCTATCAACAAAGCGGCACATTAATGGTCCTCTCACATCAAGCTCTAATTTACCTTACCTCCTCAGGCATTATCTTCTCTCTGACACCCACCCTGTATCTTGGCCATATGGGACCATTTGATATGTCATGTGTGTGCCCCACAATTTCCTCATCCATCACTTTGTTTACAGACCTCTTCTATTTTGAATTCACTATTCAGCCGGACTTCAGTTGATGATCAAGAAATACTGCTGTAAATACCCAGATGTCTGCACTTTCTTTAATCTGGTATTTATTATCTTCTTCCTTCCAAAACATGGCTCTTAAAACTTTGTCCTTATTTTAAATAATGTTTTATGCATGTGTATTACTTTTCATTGTGGATCCGAGATAGCCTTTGGAAATCATGAAAGGAGAAAGAGAGACAGAGAAAAGGCAAGAAACAGAGGCAGTAACAGAGTCAGAGAGAACTAGTAACAAAGTAGTGTTGCCAGATAAAAGACAAATCCATTTTTAGTAGAAGTAAGTCCCAAATCTTGCATGGGACATTCTTATGCTAAAAAGGTATTCATGCTTTATCTGAAATTCATATTTAATTTAATCTGTCAACCCAAAGGAATTTTCTCACTCTTCCTCTCCCAAAGCTGCATTGACACACAAGCATTGATCCAGGATTCATTTGCCTGAGCCACAAAGAGCTGCGATGCAAACAGTTCTCCAGGAGTTATAAACAGAAAACAAACAAACAAAACAACAGAAATTAACAACAACAACAAAAACTATCCAACAGCATAAACTCTTAAATGAAAACAGGATCCGTAATTCAAACCTTTGTTGGTGGCTGGTCAGGGATGCAATTTATCCGTTCCACTTCACTTACTACTGGGCACGTAGCAGGATCAGGGGTGGTACTTGTTGTCCCAGGATCTGGGGTAACTGTTGCTCCAGGATCTGGGATAATCCCAAAAACAAACATAAAATGACCATCAGACAGCTCTAATATCACAAGCATTTAACATGATTGTCATAGTTCTCAACACCTCCACATATATGAAGTCAACTACTGATTGGGCTTCACCCTGAGGTCCTTGAAATGTACACATTCACTTTAGAAAGCCTCATTAGTTCTTGCTGACTGTATTTACCTCTGTGTATACTACATCATCTCCTTCCACCACCAGCAAGGAGTTTGGCTCCACCATTAGATCAAAAGGTCACCACCAAAGTAAGAACCAAATCTACCTTCTCTAGTCCAGAGGTCAACAAACTATAGCTTGTGGACCAACTCAGGTCACAGCCTGATTTTTAAATCAAGTATTGCTGGAACACGGCCACACCCACTTTTTAATGTATTATCCATAGCTGTTTTTGTGCTACAATGGCAAAATTAATTAGTTATGACAGAGACTGTATGGCCTGCCGAATCTGAAGTATTAAGTACCTGGTCCTTTACAGAAAAGTTTGCAGACTGCTCTGATCCTTTACTTCCACCCCCAGCAGCTGGTTCACAATATGTTTGTGCACAGAACATGGGCGGTGTATGTTTTCTCAGTTGCAGGTGTTTCATCAACAGGCTTTCCCTCAACAAGGAACACTTCTGAGTGATGACATTCTTATGTAAATATAAAGTCTCATACGACAAAAATGTAAAGGAAGGCCACCAATCTAAAAATTGGCAGTAGGGATCTGCCCAAAGGCCTTGATTCAGATTTTAAAATCAGTCAAATAAAAGACACATTTATTGCATTCTAAAATAAGGAAGTGAGATTTCTTTAAGTCACTCTGCAACAAGTTAATAAGGACATTAAGACAGAACAATGAGGCTTTTAATTAGTTTCATTTCTGTTCCAATTCAAAAGTGGTGGATTGAGAGAGCTCCGTATTTGTGCCACTTTCTGCATAAGGGTTTTAGTTCCATCTTCAAAGCCATAGAATTTTAAGAGTTAAACAATCTTTGAGATTACTTGATCTAACTCCCCGCAAAAGTAAAAATTGTCAGGGCTGGGACAGAGGAAGTGGGAGCAGAGAAGTCTTCTAGCCACAGACTGAGCCTTCATCACTTGGTTCATAGAAACTGTTCCCAGATGAGCCAGGTGAGAAATCAGGGATAACTCAGCACAATCCAGCCCCTCTTTCAGAATAAGACAGTTCAATAAACGTTTCAATAAATAACTCTGGTAGTTGTTACTTTTTTTTTAAGATTTTTTATTTTTTATTTGACAGAGAGAGAGAGAGAGCACAAGCAGAGGGAGTAGCAGGCAGAGGGAGAGGGAGAAGCCAGCTCCCTGCTCAGCAGGGAGCCCGATGCAGGGCTCCATCCCAGGACCCTGGGATCATGACCCGAGCTGAAGGCAAACGCCCAACCATCTGAGCCACCCAGGTGCCCCTAGCTGTTACTTTTTAAGGAATCAGAACTTTGGCCTAAAATACTTTGATTATATACTTATTCAAATGCCTTGCATATAAGGGGTAATTGGTTAATAAAGGTTAATTATATTGTTAATGAAATGAGAATTATTCAATGCAATTCAGCAAATTTATTTCAAGGGTCAATTGTGGAATCCTGCACTGTGCTAACTGGGAAATAAAAGTATCGGCTTAGGCCTACAGTGACTACCTAATGAGCTGTCACAGTTCCAGTCAGGGGTTCACAGACACACATGTAACTCTCCCCTCCCCCATACACACACACACAACAATGGACAAGAGAACATCACGTCCCTGCCACTCATGAGGTTTCTGCTCTGGGAAGAGCAACACATGGAGGGTGAACATCAGAGTTCCTTGTTACCTTGTGATTCCAAAGAATCTTTAGCTGAAAGCACAAACAGAGGAATAGTGATGATAAACACCATAAGCAGAAGAACACTGAGCATAAGCTCCAAACTCGTGAAATCTTTCAACTTCTTTCTTGCCATCTGCAAAGAAAGGAAAACAATTTTAGATTTGAGTTTTATTTAATTTATAGCTAGTAATTTTCAAATGGACAAGCTCAAATGTCACATAAGTAAAATGAATAACTAACAATCCTTCATGTACATACCCATCAGCTAGATTAAAAAAATTATCAACTCATGACCAATCTCATTTTTTCTTTATTCAACTTACTTCTCTCCCTAACCTTGGATTATTTTGAAGCAAATCTCAGATACCTTTTCATCTGGGTGAAAATATCGAAGTATCAGGGCACCGGGCTGGCTCAGTTGGTAGAATATGTGACTCTTGATCTCAGGATTGTGAGTTTGAGTCCCACGATGTAGATGTAGAGAGATTACTTTATTCTTTTTATTTAAATTCAATTATTCAGAGGGAGAAGGAAAGATGGCAGAGGAGTAGGGGACCCTATTTCAACTGGTCCCTGGAATGGAGCTGGATATCTCCCAGACCACTCTGAGCACCCATGAAACCAGCCTGAGATGTAAGAAGATCTGGACCTCTACAAACAGAATATCGCAGGCAGTTGGTTTCGAGGTATGAAGCAGGGAGCCGTGATTCTGCGGGCAGATATCAGAGGATAAACGGAGGCGGGAGGGAGCCTGGCCGTGGGGATCCTACACCGCCGGTGAGCGACAGCCTCACGCGCTGGGGACAGGGCACAGACTCGCAGACCAGTAGGGGTGGGGAAAGGACTTTAGGGCAGCCCCCAGGGCAGAAACCCGGAGTGGCCGGTCGTGGCATGCAATCTGGGGACAGCTGGCGGTTTTAGAAGCACAAAGGGCAGAGACGTGCTCCGAGCTGGAGGCAGGACTGGGGGCACTGCAGAGGGGCGCACAACCCAGGCCGCTGCAGTTTATAGCAGCACGGACAGAAACGGAGAGAGTGTGGCCTGGAGAGCTCACTGAAGAACAGACTGCGGTCTCTTCTGCTCTGACTCACCGAAGAGACGCGGAAAACCATCAGGGAACGCCGCCAGAGAACAAAAGCCCCAAAAACTGATTCCCGCGGAGCCCATCCCCCACCACAGGGGAGCAGGGCAACTCCGCCCAAACAGGGTTGCCTGAGTCACAGCACGGCAGGCCCCTCCCCCAGAAGACAGGCTGGGAAAACAAGAGGCCAGCAACCCTAAGGTCCCAAGAAAACAGGTGCATCTTGCTTGGGTTCTGGTCAATAATTTGGACTCATACATTCCCTCAACCACCCATCAACAGAATGACTAGGAGGAGGAACCCCCAAAATAGAAAAGACTCAGAGATCATGATTTATGCCACAGATTTACAAATGGATGCAGATATAACCAAGATGTCAGAAATGGAATTCAGGTAGCAGTTGTGAAGACAATAGCTAGAATGGAGAAATCAATTAATGGCAACATAGAGTCTCTAAGGGCAGAAATGAAAGCTGAATTGGCAGAACTTAAAAATGCTATCAATGAGATCCAATCCAATCTAGATAATCTAACAGCTAGGGTAAGTGAGGCAGAAGAAAGAATAAGTGACCTGGAAGACAATATAATAGATAAAAAGGGAAAAGAGGAGGCCAGGGAAAAACAACTCAGAATCCATGAAAATAGAATCAGAGAAATAAGTGACATCATGAAGCATTCCAATGTCAGAATAATTGGAATCCTGGAGGGAGGGGGGAGAGAGAGAGAGAGAGGACTAGAAGATGTATTTGAGCAAATCATAGCTGAGAACTTCCCTTCCCTAATCTGGGGAATGAAAGAAACATTCATGTCCTAGAGGCAGAGGGACCCCTCCCAAGGTCAAGGAAAACAGGCCAACACCCCGGCATGTAAGGGTAAAACTTGCAAGTCTTAGAACCAAGGAAACCATCTTACGGGCTGTTAGGGGGAAGAGATTCCTTACGTACAGAGGGAGGAACATCAGAATAACGTCAGACCTAACCACAGAGACCTGGCAAGCCAGAAAGGCCTGGCAAGACATATTCTGGGTACTAAATGAGAAGAACATGCAGCCAAGAATACTTTATCCGGCAAGGCTTTCATTTAGAATGGATGGAGAGTTGCAGAGCTTCCAAGACCGGCAGAAACTGAAAGAATATGTGACCACTAAGCTGGCCCTGCAAGAAATATTAAGGGCAGTGCTGTAAAAGGAGAAAGACCCCAAGAGTGATACACAACAGAAATTTACAGGGACAATCTATAAAAACAACATCTTCACTGGCAACATGATGACAGTTAATTCATATCTTTCAATAATCACTCTCAACGTGAATGGCCTAAATGCTCCCATAAAATGGCACAGGGCTGCAGATTGGATAAAAAGACAGGACCCATCCATATGCTGTCTACAAGAGACTCATTTTGAACCTAAAGATACATCCAGACTGAAAGTGAAG